TGGGGTCCGAGGCGAGAACATGATAACCATCCTTGACACCAAGCTCCTCCAAGGTTTTGAAATCATCCGCCAAGAATGCAACGTGCCGTTCAGAATCATCCAAAAGCTCTAGTTTCATTGTACTGGGCTCACATCCAGTCATTAATACTAACTTTTCCTAGTATATTGGTAAGCTATCAATATAAAGAAACGAATACCTTGAATTTACCTAATGTAAGATCTAACGGATATTTCTTTTCACTTTTAAGCCCGAAAGCAGTGGATGTTATCACCAAAGAAACATAAGATGGCATCGCTGTGATTATAACGGCAAGTGTTAACACAGTCAGCGGTTGGAAACGAGCGCCGCCACAATTTAAAATAGCGCGAACCTATGAAGATATGTAAACAAAAATAATATGTTATGGAAAACATCATGGTTATCGTAGGCAGAAGATTCTGTATGTTTGCGCCCACGCCCACCTTCGTAAATAATAGAGAAAAGAATAACCGTTCTAAACAATCTTCAAAGGTTCCACATCAAAAGTCGACCTTCCTGTACTGAAATGAAGTATTGGCTTGTGAGGATAAGAATGTGTTACGGAGAACGGAAACTGTCAAGATGTGAAAATATGACACAACTACGCATCACTCAGCGGACAGATCTGGCCGCTAAATGTGCATGCTGCCTCGGGAATCCAATTCGCATGTGCCGCTGTATCGAGCACACGTCAGGTTTATGTTCGCGTAGGCAGCCGCTCGAATAGCATTATTTTCCTGCTAGGTCTTCTCGCGCACGAAACGGTTAATTAATGTCCATCACGCCATAGGTTGTAAGGTGGTGGGACGCCCTTTACGATTTTGCACGCGATAGGCCTGAATGTTCAGGAGCGCGAGGTAAGTTTACATTGAGAGAAAGAACATATTAGCAGGCTGTGAGTAAAATTTCCGTTGCACGAAACGATTAACTTGTCTTCCAACTACCCTTCTGGCAATACCAGCAGGTCGTAAAAAGAGCGAAAATAACTGGCCACCCTTCCTGAATATACGCCCAATATCATAAAATAGTGACTCCAAGACAAACACAGGAAAAGTCGAAACAGTTCCGAAGTGTCAAATCCAGACATAGCTAACCCACAGTCAAAATCTTTGATTCTACCATGGACAATCTTAAAACTACCTAGAGCAAGTCAAATACAGCAGCGTATAAAAGCTAAATAAATGTTAATATTCTTTTTTGTGTACTCACAGGACGCAGAAAGGCAAAAACGCGTATACCACTATTTACGACTTCACGAAAATGTCGCAACATTGCGCGTGATTTGCTGCAAACGTCCTACAAAGGCTTGAATGACTTATTAAACAACGCTTAACAATAATGAGGCCCTCCGGGCCTTAAATATAAAAATTGTTTATTTGAAAAATATAATGATTTTTTCGTTATCAAACCCATGAAGCCAGGGATGCTTTTTTTCTTCCAAAATGCTGCGTATATATTCACTTAAAAGAATTTTTTGTTATTTATCTCTCCCATGCTAACGTACTCATAACAAAACCTATGCACCTTTGTGGTTTCATTTAACATAAAGTAGGTTTGCGTGAAAGCAAGTTAAGATTTCGTCACGTTCTTTTGCTCGTCTTTTCGAATTCTTCTGCACTTTCTTTGCCCTATCGAATCAATATAGCTGCCTTAAAACTTATGGTGTTCAAACATGTTACTAGAAAACATTTCTCCCGGTTCCAACCAAATATTCATATGTCTCACTATGCTCAATATTAAACAGGAATCTCGCTGAAGAGGATAGGCGAGACACCAATTTGTCTTTGTATTCGACAATCAAAAGAATTGCAAAAAACCTGAGCAAGAATGAAAATTACGAGCA